AGCGTAGACGAGAGCATCGATTGAGGCGGCTTGATGAACCGAGTTCAAGTAGTCTGTCGACGGGCGTAAAACGGCAGTTATCCAACAAAAACAATACAGTAATGTGCATATTGTTGTTTTCGCGCTCATCCGATTTTCGAACTTCCTAGTCAATACTCATCTTTTCCTATTCACGGATTTTCTCAGAACGCTGCATATACAGTCCATATCCCGTAGGTTAGTAGGCGTGTTCACAAATCTGACGTAGCGACCGCCGCACGCTAGGAGTTGCGTGGATATGCTGTCTCCAGCACGCCCTGCTTGGCACTTGTAATCACACGGCGAGTTATGGACTGTAAAGTACGGACATTGGTTACTCAGCTTTAACCACCAAAGTCTTAGATAAGAAGCTCATTGGCTCTGTAGGCGGACAGATATAATCTATAAGCTTTTTTGTTGTATAGCCGAGTCCAGTAAGACTTCTAATTAAATCGAAGAATAGCATGCTGGGGAGAATTTTCAAGGAATTCTTATTCTTTTGTGGGTGCATGAGCTCGCTGAGCGCCAGAATTATTTTTTAGAAATTCCAGTCTGCTGCACTCAAATTCATTGTTTTAATTGGATCTACTGCTCATCGATCTATTTCAGGTTTGTGCGTTCAATAGAACTGTCTCTAAAGTTGATGATTTTCTCAACAATGAGGCCAAGGGTACCAAGATTATTGGAGCTCATTCCATGGAAGAAATGTGCAAGTAAGTTTCCAATCACATGATCACTGTGTTCACTCAATGATTTGTTATTTTCTTCTTAATTTCTTGAATTGGGAGCCATGCTCAATATTGGACAATTTCTCACTCTATTTATGATCTTGAGAACCTTTTCCGATGTTACTGAAACCCATTCAGTTTTTGTCAAATTGTTCTAAGTAACATGTGGGCAGGGCTGTAAAAAATCGTTCTTCTCAAATACATTTAGATGGGTTCAATCATGCATCGTGTTTGTATTTACCTGAAGACTAGGTAAACGGCTGGAGTTCACAGTAGTACCAAAGCTTGCCCGGATTCGATGGGAGCAGACAGGCCTACGGGTAGGGCTAACCACGTATACAGTCGGGGTCCTACTCAGCTCGGGGAAGCGTCAACCAAACCATTCGTCTCTCCATGATCATTTATATTATACCGAACTCAATCTTTGTGACCTTGGAGAGGATCACATTTTTGCTGGTGCTTTGCTGTGGTGCTATGTCTTCAGCTAATGATAAGCAATTCGTGCTTATCGATTGAAGATTGAAAATAGAGATTATGGAAGGACTTATCTATTTGCACCTTGTTCCCTCTGCTGTCCCTCGGAGCGCAACGTACGCCCTCGCTTAGTTAGGTCATTGCATCAAGGCTTCGAAAAATCCCAATCCTGGCTCTCAATCAGGGTTCTGGTCAAAAAATATAGGAACTTATGTCGGAGGTCATATGAAGCAGGCGACGCTTGGCAGCTCCAATGGGTAGATGATGAAGATGAATCGCGCCTCTAGTCCAACGCAGTGCGCTATAATCCTTTCTTCTTCTTCCTAACGTTAGTCCCGCACAGTCGCAGGGTTTGCTGAAGCCTAACATCTTTCTGAAAGAAATATCAGTGCCGTGTGGGGAAGGCAAAGTTACGGTTTTTGTATCGTCTACCACCACGCAAAGTATTGGCATAAGGCATGTAATGTAAGACCGCCTCCGACGCTTCGAATGAAACTGAATTCACAGCGCATCAAAAAGAGGTTGATCTGCAACAGGTGCCTCACATTTGCTTTCTGAAGGCATAATTCAGGATGAGTCTAGGGAGTGAATTTTTTTTTGTTTGGAAGACTGATGTGGCACGAAAGGTCTATAGTGTATCCGCGTTCTCCTCACTTAGAGGCGTGCGCCATATGCAGCTAAAGGCCCGTAAGAATGTTTCAACGCTCCCATTTTTTAATCCTTCGCGTCTTGTTTGGTGTTCTTAGCCTCTTCTTTTTGTAGAGAAACCACTACGCGCTATTCTCTATCCTTCGTACTTGGTTTTTCAATGAATTAGCACAGCCGCATCAAGGAACTGATTCAGCCTTTTCAACGTGACGGACTCTTTCCCTTTTTTCTCGACTGGTTGCTTCGCACCAGTGCTTTCATTTTCTTGGAAGAACGACTTCAATCTGATCCTGGCGCTTGCCTTTATACATACATGTCTAGGAAGCTGAAACGGCCGCGCCGGGTCATGATGCTGGTGAAGGCAGGTGCTCCAGTTGACTCAATGATCGCCAATGTTGTTCCTCATTTGGAGGCAGGCGACATAATCATTGATGGTGGAAATTCGGAGTACACAGATACCAATGTTAGTTCCATCTTACTTTTCTTTTTACTGTTTTTTTTGTACTCTTACTATTTGAAATTTTGTGTAAGTTCAAAGCTGGACGCATGCCTAATTAAGGTGAGCACAAATCTAGGGTTTGTAGTTCCCTTTCGCCTCTTTGCTAGACGTTGGCCATCGTAAATCCCCCTTTTAATTGTGTAGTCTTTTTATTTCTTTCGAAGGCATTTCCTTCCTTTTTATCAGAACAGTTTGAACAGAAAGAATCTGTGCAAATTCTGCTGTGTAATGCGAACTTGCTGTTAGTGAAAGCCTGCTGTTAACCTTTTTTCCTCCTCGCCACCACTGGATGCTGGGAATTCAAAGTTCGCTCGATAAATGACGCACAGAGATCTATTTCATAGAATCGCATCATATTCTATATCACCGCCACGTTTGTCGCTGAATTCAAATTAACCATTCTGGGTAACTTCCCATGTCCTTCCCTTTTGCGTTTTACTACTCGTCGTCCATTCATTTCTCTAAATCCGAATTTATTTCAGAACTGTATGAGTAAATCAAAATTTTCCTGCTTCGTTACCTACCTAATTAATACGCTACTTTGAATTTTTTAATGACAGCAGCGATTCCAATTTTGATGGTAGATTTGTTCTTCGAATTCGGGTTCCTCTTCAGAGATAAGATTGGAGTTGATTCTGCACTCATTAGGTTCCTTAAATGGCTAGAGGCAGAGCTCGTGCTGCAATTTGGACACAAGCTATGGGAAACCTTCACCTGGCGCGGGCTGCTGACGGCTGCAGCCCCTTTAGGCTCCTTATCTCGACCCCTGTCTTCAATAATGGAGAAAACCCAAAGTATTAACAATGTTTCAACTATATATGCTTATATTAGGTCAGCCGAGCCCTGTGCTTAGTAAGCGAAAATCTTTATCTGTAGGTTGTAGTAGTCTACCGCGATCCGGGCGGGCTACTTTTTGCTTCTGTCGAGTTTAGTTACTAAATTCTGGAGATCAAGCGCTTATTCTGTTCTGATATTTGCCGGAGAATCAATTGTAAGTCACTATTCTCTGGTGGGCCGAGCTAAAAAGGGATGACCGAAAAGGGGATCCGAGACGGACACCGGAACATTTTATTGTTTTGTTGACGTTAAGCCAGTGCTTAGCGGATGAGTTGTAGTGGGTGGCGACGTACCGTATCATTTGCATGAAAATTTCCGAACGTCGCTGACACGGGTTCTTGAGCTGACCGTTGCTTGAGTAAGATAAGTGAGAACGTTTATCCATTGATCTCACATGTGCATTTAGGTAACAACACGTAAGAACTCCATGATCGTACATGTGTGAAATTCAGCAGTTGTGTGTGTGTGTTGTCTCCCGCTTTCTGCTCCGTGGGAGATCGAGAATGGTAAACACAAATACCAATTCCTCGCACTTCTCTCGAGATCATCCACGACTTTCTTACTATAAATATATAATTAGCGTAGAAAATAACCTAGGTCTCACTTGTTCGAGTGACAAGTAATAACTACTGACAATTCATATCCGGTTTGTTTCTGCACGTCGTAGCTCCTTTTGATGAATTCGAGCTCAAATGCCAATCAGTCACAAGTGATAATGACAGAGCTCGCAATAACTATACAGCACTCTGTATACATACTTATTCAGCCCTCTGAGGAGTCATGGCTACAGAGATACGAAGCCATATTTGCGAGAGCGTTTAGCTCGCCTTTACAAAGCAATCTTTTTTTTGAATTCCTACATTCCAGCTCTGAATATCCATCTGATTCTAAATGAAAAAAAGCGAAAGGAAGCCTTTTCCTCTCAGCAGTCCGCTTTATTGTGAGGGAAGGGCGTGTCCGTACGAGTTTTCTGAGCTTGCTGACTCCATGCCAGCAATCGATGCAGCTCTCAACGCATCTTAGGCAGCTGTTTTTGCCGATATTACAATTGCGAGAGTACGTTGCAATCCACGTCGATAAGTGCGTGGATTACGCTACTTCGTACCACTTTGAGCGGGTATGGGCGCGAGGAGACTCGTCCATTTGCTCTCATTTGCTCGAATAGGCTCACTTTTCGAGGCTTTAGCGCCTTTACATGAGCACATCTGTGGTCCTTCTAGACATCATTCTGCTCACAAGATGAACTGATTCACATGGCCTCACTCCGGGTAGTTGCCCCGATGAAATTAGTATCGTTAACTTTGCGAATGTTTAGCGTCGTCACGATGAGCTGGCTAAGCGTGGAATCCTTTACGTTGGTTGTGGAGTGTCTGGAGGAGAAGAAGGTAAGCCATACATTTCAACTTTTATTTAAAATTTATTTAATTGAAGTGACATTGGTTTCAATATGTTATTGAAATCTTATTATATTAAACTAGGTTTTCGAATTTCTGTGCTAAATCCCGCTTGACGTAATCACATTTGGCTTGAATTTTCCTTGAGCAGTAGATTTCTAGTGGGACTTCCGGCTGGTGTAGATTCTGAAAGTGAATGCTTCGTTTTGCTGATTTTAGACTATCTATTTTGAATACTCAACCTCAACTTACGTGAGCTTTCATTATTTACTTGGTCACTGTTGAATCTTCTGGGCGATTTCTTATTAATTACTTCTAATCTGAAATCATTTTAAAATTATGAAGGTATCGGCTTGAACTATGCGCGAGAAATGTTGTAAGCTAACGGCTACGTACCGGAATATTGCATAGACTGGCCGATGATCGGACTGGGATGGTTTTTGTATGCAGTTATATGCTGTACACTCGATCCAATTTGGTTGTTTTGTCCAATATAACACTCGATCCTGAAAGCTCGGCCATCATTTTATTACTTCCGAAGTTTTTGCAAGAATTTGCGAAATATTCAAAAGGAGGAAAGGAAGACGTTTGGGTTTTTGAAGCGTTTTCATGTAACAAACAATCAACTCGAAGGAGGTGAGACTCAATCTTTGAGGAGTTTTTTTTTGCGGTTGCAAACAGCTCCAAGGGCACGGTCATATTTCCGATATAAACTTTTAATCTCCTCATTTCATACGCACCCTTATTAGTTTTCAAATTCGTCTTCTATTACTTTACTGTGTTAAAAGTTTATTAGTGGGTATGACGTATCGTATCCCTATCGCGCGTCTACAATTTGTTCTGTGCTTTTTGCCACTTTGTGCATGTCACTGCAAGTGACAGCGGTTATGACCATTCTGTCTGACGTCGTTCTCAAATTCGATCGTCGCTTTTTTGCAAAAGATTCGGCGAATGTTTCCATTTCAGTGTAATAGTAGCAATCAAATTCCCTTTTTTAAGTTTTTGTTCGTGTGCTTTCGATTCATAATTCGCTGCTTTTGTCACACATGATTGATATCGAAGTGAATTACCGTAAAAGAAGGAATGCGATTGGGTACGTAGTCATTCGTTCCTACTTCGAATTTGTGCGTTGGAGCAAATTTGACGGGAGCCTCAGTGAATTCTGAGAAGGCGAGTTCTGAAAAGAATATCATTGATATCAGAATAATGCTTGGGTAGAGCAAAGCATTCGGTTCTCGTGGTAATCAAACTCGCATCTTTTGATTGAAAAATCACTGATCACTTCTTTTATGAATTGAAGCGCTAACATGTAACTCAAAGGCAACGGTCGCGACGATCTACGGATCGACGGATTAGTGCTTTTCTGAAATGGTTGCACTCTTCCACAATGGCCGACTAGCGTTCGCATCGTTTCCCGGAAAAGTTCTTTTATTAATGAATTAAGGGTTAAAAAGTTTGACACAGTAGCCCCGCTCCGCGTTGCTTAAGGTTGTCATAGTCTCCATTTTTTGGATGGTGATATTACTCTATTTATTCTACTTTTCTAAATATTTTTGTACTCTTTAACTTATCACTTCTGCTACCTATCGATTTATTCTTTACTTTATATGTAGTACATAATTATAAATATTTTTGCAACATGTATATATTACTTTCCTACTAGCTATTACGGTGGACGCAACCTTGAACGCAGGGGGTACTACGGTGTATTTGGCCTTACCTTTTTGTCGTACCAAGCCGAGCTCGTCGTTCTGCATTGTGTTCTCGATGTCTCGAGTGTTTGGTTCTTGTAGTTGAGACTTCCAATCTACTCCAGAGTCTTGCGTTATGCGGAAATTGAGATCACCCAACCATAATACGCACTAAATGAGGGGATTAGTTGGCTTGACGTATTCTCCAGAGCGGTAATCTGCCATTAAGTACTGATTATCACCAGTCTCTGATTAAGAGTACACCTAGTCGAAGA